AAGACAAACTGCTCTTCCTTATAAAGATACTGGAAATAAGATAAATTAGGACCAGCCAGGTAGCTTGAACAGGATAGGTCAGAAAATAAAGTTGGTCAAACAGAAGGGCCGGATTAGAGAAAGTCTTAAAAGCCAGAATGAGGCATTTGCATCTTATATGATAAGAAATAAAGACTGCTGGAGTTTTTGAGCAGAATTAATCGCATGTTCACTGAAGAGTTAATGGAGTAGAGTATCATCTCCAAAGCCAAAATGCCTGTTTGAATCTTGATCCTATCACTCATCAATTGTGTGATCTTTGGAAAGTTATTTCAGTTCTCCAAGTCCTGATTTCCCTAACTATAACAGAGAACTGTTACGAAGATGAAATGAAATAATATAGTCTAAGTGCTTTGCATAATGCCTGCCACATATTAACAACATAATGAATGCCATTCCCTCTAAATTAACATGACCAAAATATGTAGGCTGACAGAAGGCTAACTGGAATTAGAAGGATGGCAGCAGAAATTTATAAGAATTAGACATAAGACCCATTTGAAAAAAGACCTGACAGCTCTCAGAATTTAAGGTTTGAGAGAGAGAATGAGACTTGCTTATTTTTGGTGCCTAGCATCTAGTCCCCTTCCCATGCTTGGGGAATTTTACATTGTATGTATGAGCCTTGATGGGAAGCAGGAACCCATCTCTCAGAAAGCGGAAAAGATTGCCTTTCCTGTACCAAATTTGAGTTAAAAGCTGAGCATCAAATAGATATTTTATACAAGTTGGGAAAATGAGAATAAAATCAAAGTGAAGGTATTATAGATAAACACAGAGTTAACAGTTAAAGCCTTAAAAAGGAGAGAAAAAGACAGGGGGGGAAGAAGAGTGCTAGTAATGACTATAAAAGCTAGCACCAGTTCCCGGTACATAGATGATACTTAATAAGAATTTGCAGATTAACTGAACAACAGAATGTTGAAATATCCCTAATCAGTTATCTTATTTATTTCTGTACCATGCACTCATCAGGCCTATGTCTAAAACTTAAGCATCTACAAATAAATAGCATTATGTTATATGTTATTCGGGTTAGAAAGTGGTAGGCAGGAGGCTGCTACTGAATGGTCACAGAAGGCCTCCTTGGTAAGTTGACATTTGAGAGATTTGAGTGAATAATTTCTGCTAGGCCCTTCAATATCCGGGGCCAGAACGTCCCGGCGAGAGCATCAGCTAAAGCAATATCTTGGATATGGATAAAATGGCCTGTTAGATTAATGAAAAGGCTGATGGGGTTGGAATAAAAGCATCAGTAAGGGAAGAAGTTTTAATAGAATGAGCTGACATCAGAGAGGTAGCCAGAAGTCAGAGAGAGATTGTAGGAAATTGCGGACTGCAAGTACTAGGAATTCAAAGAAAGGGGAGATCAATGCATATTAAGGGCTAATACACAGAAAGCTTCTAGCATAATACTGGCACCCAGCAGGCACTGTGCAGTGTTTGTTGCTATTATTTTTAACTATTATTATTTTTCTGAGACAGAGCCTTGCTTTGTTGCACAGGCTGGAGTGCAGTGGTATATACAATTTCAGTTCACTGCAACCTCTGCCTTCTGGGTTCAAGCAATTCTCCTGACTTAGCCTCCTGAGTAGCTGGCATTATAGGCACTTGCCACCATGCCTGGCTAGTTTTTATTTATTTATTTATTTTTGGTATTTTTTAATAAAGACAGGGTTTCATCATGTTAGCCAGGCTGGTCTTGACCTCCCAACCTCAAGTGATTGGCCCGCCTTGGCCTCCCAAAGTGCTGGGATTACAGGCGTAATCACAGCCTATTTTTAATATTAATAATAACTGTTGTTAGTATAGTACAAAGAATTCTTAGATACCTTTGACCCAGATTTCCCAAATGTTTACTTTTTACTGTATTTACTATGTAGGTTCACCCCCCCCCCCCCCCCAACTGTTTTAAGAGTAAGTTGTGGCCCAGTGTGCTGGCTTATAGCTGTGATCCCAACATTTTGGGAGGTCGAGGCAGACAGATCACTTGAGGTCAGGAGTTCGAGACCAGCCTGGCCAACATGGTGAAATCCTATCTCTACTAAAAATACAAAAATTAGTCAGGCACGTGTGGTGGCATGTGCCTGTGGTCCCAGCTACAGAAAAATTGTTTGAACACAGGAGGCAGAGGTTGCAGTGAGTTGAGATCACATCACTGCAGTCCAGCGTGGGTGATAGAACAAGACTCCATCTCAAAAAACAAAACAAAACAAAAAAAACCCCAGTAAGTTGCAGAAATGATGCCTTTATACCCCTAATACTCAGTGTATCTTCCTCAAAATGACAAATTATCTTCTTATAAGACCAAAATATAATAATCAAAATCTGGAAATTAACTTTTTTTTTGAGACAGAGTCTTGCTCTGTCACCCAGGCTGGAGTGCAGTGGTGCAATCTCGGCTCACTGCAACCTCTGTTTTCTGGGCTCAAGTTATCCTCCCACCTCAGCCTCCTGAGTGTAGCTAGGACTACAGGCATCTGCCACCATGCCAGGCTAATTTTTTTGTATTTTTGGTAGAGATGGGGTTTCACCATATTGCCCAGGTTCTATCAAACTCCTGGCCTTAAGTGATCTGCCCGCCCTGGCCTCCCAACATGCTGGGATTACAGGTGTGACCTACCGTACCCGGCCTGAAATTAACATTTATACAACACTATTATCTAATCTACAGACCTTACTTGGATTTTGTCATTTGTCTCAGTTGTGTACTTTACGGCAAAGGAAAATCCAAGAGGATGCATTATAATAGCTGTCATGTCTCTTTAGTCTCTTATAATCTGGAACAATTTCTGGCTTTTTTTTGTACTTCATGACATTGACATTTTTGAATACTATAGACAGATAAGTTATTTTGTAGACTGTCAACTTAGATTTGTTTCCTCAAGATTAGATTCAGCTTATACACTCTTGAACAGCATAGATGGGTGGCTGAGTTTTCCATGCATTCTCTCCAGCACAGTGCTGCTACTTAGTCTGATTTCTGTCAACATTATCTTTGATCATTTGGTTAAGTGCTGTGTGCCAGGTTTTTCTACTGTAAATATACTATTTTACTCTTTGTAACTAGTAAACATGTGGCTGAGAGACACTTTTAGACTAAGTATCCTGTTCTCAAACTTTCCCCACTAGTCTCAGCATCCACTGATAATTCTTGGCTGAATTGGTTATTGGTGGTTACTAAATGGTAACTTTTGTAATCTCATCTTTCCTTCTATATTCATTCCTTGGCACTCTACTGTAAGGAAGAGCTTTCCTTTTTCCCTTGTTTTTTTGTATCGATGTGGAACCATGGATACTTAATGACTTCATAGGACATAATCTTTTACTATCATTTATTTTGATGCTCAAATTATCCCAGAGTTGGACAGTAGTAGCCCCTGTAAGCTTTTTCCTGTGTCTTTTGACCTGTCTCCATCATTCTTTGAACATTTCCTCACTTTCTGGTCTAGAGGGTGTTACAGAATTATCTGGTACTTTTTCTGCCCCTCTCCTGCAACCAGCCATTTCTCCAATGAGTTCTTTGGCCATATATATACTTAATAAAATATCTTTTTCTCTGTTCCTCCCTCCCCCAAATAAAAGATTATTTGATACCTTTTGTTGAATCCATTCCCCCAACTGCAAACAATGTACCAACAGTTGACTTCCTAGGTTTTGTCCGAGGACTTTGTAACATGGGTCTTCTCTCTGGTAATAAATGGTACTTCATTGCTTCCATAATGAGTTTCTGACATTCTATATCATCCCGGAAAAGTGCATTATTTTCCATGTCTGCCAGGAACTAGGAAAGAGGAATGGGTATGCATACCGAATGACTAAGAAATCGGTAGGGTTTACAGAAAAAAAAAAAGACATCGTTCTCAAATGGATTTTACACATTTTTTTAAAATTCAAGTATGGGCACATATTTTTAACAAAAATATGCAACATTTACAGGATTTACATTTTAAATTTCATTGAAAAACAAAACGCAAGTAGCATAAATGGTATACTCTAAAATCTTAGTACTGTAGTGCTTATCTCTGGGTAGTAGGAATACTGGTGCTACTTAAATAAAAATTTTTTTACTATTTTTCTATAATTTCCAGATTTTCCAAAATAAATAATTTTACTTTTAAAATCAGAAATAATTTTAATTGAAGAATAATTATAAGTGGGAATTGCCTAATTATACTGTGTTCACTTGACTTTTCTAAACAATTCCACTAACAAGTGCAAAAACAAAAGTTACAAATTCCTCACGGGGCAAAGAACTAACAGTGACTGTTCTAAAAACATTAAAATCCCTTGTGTGTCATTGAATTCAATTTTATGTAAATGCACAAAAACTATTACAACTTGTCTTTTAAAATACAAAATTCTTTTTAAAAATAAAATGAAAATACGATCACATTGGCAATTAAATTAAAAAAAAAGACTTAAAAATAAGTCTTTTCCTTTTGTGCTTGGTTCTCCATCGCCCCTCCCCATCCTGTAATTCTTCCCTGCCTTATAAACAACCTGGTGTGCAGCCTTTCATATTTTCTTCATATTCACGCAATCCTCTGCTAACATAATTCTCAACATTTATATGTATAACATAAATATATGTAATAATTTTTAGTTTTCTCTTTTACTAATTGTCTTATATGCTTTGCTGCATCTTACCATCTTTGTTCAACATTATCACATGAAAATTTCTTCAGGTCTTCTGAAAAGGTACAGTTCTGATTTATTCTTTTTAATCACTGAATAATACTCTATACTATATAAATATGCTAATTTTTTAGCCATTTCCTTATCATGGACATTAATTTTGTTTCAGTATATACAGACACATATTCACGTGTATGTGTGTGTATATATGTATATATGTGTATACACATACACACACACATGAATATGTAAATATACTATTTTCTGCTACTAAAAACAAGTCCAGTACGGATGTCCTTATGTATTAATTTTTACCTTTACAGGACAGATTTCTAAGAACTGAATTGACTCCAGGTGGGTCAAAGTGTATACGTTACCTATGTATGTGTGTGCGCATATATGTGTATTTGTGTGTGTCTGTATGATAAATGTTGTCATTATTTTCCAAAGTGGCTCACATTTCATCAGCCATGTGTAAGGGCACAAGTGTATGACATTCCTACTGGGAATAAGTGTTTTAGCTCTTTTTGTCAATGATATCACATTTTTCCTTTAATTTGAATTTTCCTAAGTGAATATAAGCATTTTAAAATAATTTGGATATTTGCACTTTTTTCCTTCCTTTATCTGCCTCCTTTTTTCTACTATCTTTTGATTAAAAAATTTGCAAGAGTTCCTTATATGACACGCACTAATCTTTTATTTTTCAACTGTATTTTTCTAGATTTTTAATCATTTGTCTATTAAGGTTGTTTCATAATACTGTTGCTAAACAAATAGTTTTCATTTTTAGGTCATCAAATATGTGTCTTTCTTTTATAGTCCTGGTTAGAAAGTCTTTTTGTTTCAGTTTGCAGATGAAGTCTCCTGGATCATCTAGCAAGATTTTATTGCTTTCTCTCATTTAGGCCATTGATCCATGTGAAATGAAAATCCATTTCATTGTTTCGAAATTAATTTTTAAATAGAGTATGAGTGGAGGAGCATTTTTATTTACTTTAAGATCAACAGCTAGTTCTGTACTACTTATTAAATGTCCCCCTCCCATTTTCAACTGAACTGAATCTTGGTCATACATTACATTCTCACAAATGGATCTCAAGCTATGTGAGATTTGTTTTTTGATTCTTTATTCTGTTCTATTGATCTATTTGTCTATTCCTATTTCTAAATAGCATATTTTATTACAGTGTCTTTATAGTATATTCTGATACTCGATATTGTTAAGTTTTCCCTCACTGTTAACTTTCATAGTTTTCTTGGCTATTTTTGTGCCTTTATTTTTCACATAAACTTAGGACAAATTTATCCAGATTCTCTTGGAATTCTAATAAGGACATTAAATTTATTAATTAATTTTTGAAGAACTGACATTTTTATGATATTAAGCCTTTCTGTTCAAGAAGCCTTTCCATTTGTTGTATAGCTTTCTATATATCATACCTTTCTTTATTACATATATTTCTATATATTTTATTATCTTCACTGCTATTGGGAATGGATTTTAAAAGTTTATGTCATATATGTTTTGAAGGAGAGAAAATCTACTGATTACACTTGTATTAACCTATTACTTTTCCAAATTTCCTTATTAAGCTCTACATGTTATGCAAATAATCATAACTGTCAACAAATAGGGATAGTTGTATATCTTTTTCTAATGTGTATGCCAACTATTTTATTTATTTATTTATTTTTGAGATGGAGTCTTGGTCCGTCACCAGGCTGGAGTGCAGTGACACAATCTCAGCTCACTGCAACCTCTGACTCCCAGGTTCAAGCAATTCTCCGGCCTCAGCCTCCCGAGTAGCTGGGACTACATGTGCCACCACCTCGGCTAATTTTTTTGTATCATTGACTAATGATGTTGATGATATGGGGTTTCACCACGTTGGCCAGGAGAGTCTCAATCTCCTGACTTTGAGTTCTGGGATTACAGGCATGTGCCAACTATTTCATTATTGCAATTGCTTCTAAAGAAGCAAAGCCTTCTAAAAAAAGTTAAATAATTAGGCTGATATAGAATATTTTGTTTCTTGTTTGAATTGATCCAGTTTTAGTGTTTCATTATTTAGGAAAATAGTTGCTGTGACATTTAGTAATCTATCTTTATTATATTCAATAAAGATAATATAGATTTTCATAGATTTTGTATTTTTGAGACAGGGGTCTCACTGTTGCCCAGGCTGAAGTGTAGTGGCACAATCTCAGCTCACTGCAACCTCTGCCTCCCATGTTCAAGCAATTATCCTGCCTCAGCTTCCTGAGTAGCTGGGATTACAGGCATACACCACCTCACCCAGCTAATTTTTGTATTTTTAGTAGAGATGGGGTTTCACCATGTTGGCCAGGCTAGTCTTGAGCTCTTGACCTCAAGTGATCCCATGGCCTCCCATAGTGCTGGGATTACAGGCGTGAGTTACCATGCCCAGCCCCTTCATAGATTTCTTAATAATCATTCTAATATTCCTGGAAAAAGACCTTTCTGGTCATAGTGTATCCTTTTGATACACGGTGGGTTGCATTTGACAATATATTTCTTTATAATTTATTGGGGCATATTTTACATATCCTAATTTATCCATTCCAGGTAGACAATTCAATGATTTTTAGTAAATTACCAAGTTGTGGAACCATTACCATAAAACAATTTTGAAACATTTTCATCATCTCAATTAGATCCCACATGCCCATTTACTGTTCATCATCATTGTCATTCCCATCTTTTGTCCCAAGTACTAATCTATCTCTATAGATTTGCCTTTTCTGGACATTTTATATACAGAGAATCATATAATATGTAGACTCTGGTGTCTTGCTTCTTTCCCTTAGCATACTTTTGAGACCTGTCCCTGCTGTAGCTACTGGTATCAGTGCTTCATTTCTTTTTATTGTTGAGTAATAATTCCACTATTGGGCTATACTTCATTTTATCTATCTATTCACCAGTTGATGGATGCTTCTTAGGTTGCTTCCAGTTTCAGGTTATTATGAATAAAGCTGCCAAGAACACTTGTGTTCAAGTCTTTGTGTGGACATATTTCTTTCTCTTGGGTAATTATAACCTAGGAGTAGAATTGCTGAGGTATATGGAAAATTTACGTTTAACTTTTTAAGAAACAACCAAATTGTTTTCCAAAGGGGTTGCACCATCTTACATTTCCACCAGCACTGTATGAAGGTTCCTGTTTTTGCACATCCTCACCAATTGTTTATTTGTCTCTATTTTAGCCATTCAGGAAGGTGCGCAATATGGTTTTATTTTGCATTTGCCTTGTGACTAATGATGTTGATGATATATTCATGTTTTTATAGAGGAAGAGAGAAACAGTCTCTAAAAAGAGTCACTGTAAAAACAGTTGGTGGTATTTGGAAGCTAGCACTGCATACCAAAGGCAAAAAAGCCAAATTAAGACCTAAGTCCCATGACCTACACCAGAATATACATTTTGGTATTAATTACTCCACATTGTTTCTATGCACACAAAACATAGTTACACTTGTCACAGAAACCGTTAGTATATATGCATAAAGTTGGCTCATTAAGGTTAATTTAAATGTTTATGTTACTTCTATTATAAACTATTATTTTAGTCATCTCTAAATAAAAATAAATGTGAAAAAATGTAGAAAGTAAACTCTTGGGAGACGTAATAGTCACTGTAATTTGAAGCAATGTATATTTGCTAATATACTGATAGTATCTATAAATTATAAATAAGTAGGATTAATTATATTTAAGTTAAAAAGTCATTAATCGAAGTATCAGATTAATCAAATGGGAGGAACCAAATATCATTTAGAAAACTATTCAGAAGACACTGAGAGAAAACTACAAAATACTTTCATGTACTCTGCATTTTTGGTGAATGCTAAATGCCTTCTCTGCTATAAAAGAAGAGCAAATTACTAAAATGAAAGCATTCAGAATACAGGAATCAATTTTCATTTTGTAAATTTTTATACTCACTCATATTTGCTCACCTTATGACTACTGCTCTAAAACTGTCCCCTCAAATACAAATAGAATGTGAATAATTTATGAACTGTACAGATGTTAAAAAAACGTTTTGGAGGCTGGGCAAGGTGGCTCATGCCTATAATCCCAGCATATTGGGAGGCTTTGGCAGGAGCACCACTTGAAGCCAGGAGTTTGAGAACAGCTTGGCAACAAAGTATGACCCTGTCTCTATAAAAAATTTTAAAAAACTAGGCAGATGTGTGGTGGGGCACAGTAACGGTAGTCTCAGCTTCTCGAGAGGCTGAGGTGGGAGAATAACTTGAGCCCAGGAGTTTGAGGCTGCAGTGAGCTATGATAATGCCACTACACTCAACCTTGGGTGGCAGAGTGAGACCCGGTCTCAAAAAAAAAGTTGTTGTTTTAGTATCAAGACCTTGTAAACTAAAAGAATGCTAAAGTAAATATTGACTCATTTTATATTTCTGACTTTCTGTAGAAAACAATACTGAACTGAGAGCAGAATAGTGAAGACTCAGATACTTGTAAATTCAGGCTGAACATTGAAAATGTTAATAATTTAGGTGCGGGCCAGGTGCGGTGGCTCACGCCTGTAATCCCAGCACTTTGGGAAGCCAAGGTGGTAGATCACCTGAGGTCAGGAGTTTGAGACTAGACTGAACAACATAGTGAAACCCTGTCTCTACTAAAAATACAAAAAATTAGCTGGGTGTGGTGGTGGGCGCTTGTAACTCCAGCTACTGAGGAGGCTGAGGCAGGAGAATCACTTGAACTCAGGAGGTGGAGGTTGTGGTAAGCTGGGATCACGCCACTGTACTCCAGCCTGGGCAACAAGAGCAAGACTCTGTCTCAAAAAACAATTTAGGTGTCAAAATCTTTTAATGTATATATGCCCTAGTATTTCTATTCACATGGTTTAAAATTTTATCAAGTTGAAATATCTGGAATGCTTTCAAAAGTAAAATAAAATCAATCTTAGTACTTTGAGAAGCCAAGGTGGGAGGATCACTTGAATCCAGGAGTTCAAGACCAGCCAGGGCAACATAGTGAGACCCTATCACCAAAAAAATTTTTAAAAACTGGCTGGGTATGATGGTTCATGCCTGTTAATCCTAGCACTTTGGGAGACCAAGGGGGTGGATCTCTTGAGGTCAGGAGTTCGAGACTAGCCTAGCCAACATGGTGAAACCCTGTCTCTACTAAAAATACACAAATTAGCCAGGCATGGTGGCATGCCTCTGTAATCCCAGCTACTCAGAAGGCTGAGGTGCAAGAATCGCTTGAACCCAGGAGATGGAGATTGCAGTGAGCAGAGATTGTGCCACTGTACTCCAGCCTGAGCGACAAGGACTCCATCTCAATAAATAAATAAATA